AAATGTCCTTTCTTGGCTGGTGACCATTTCTTCGTTTTGATGAATGCAAATAACCCCTCTGTCTGACAGAAAGAACGAGTCTACGCGTGTTAAGGTTTTAACGACGGTAGAAAACGGTGTGTTCAACCCATCTTTATTGAAAATTCTAAACAGACCAAAAAAAGCTGTGCGACCAAAGCGCGAGCTCTGAACGTTATCGCTCAGCGTCAGTTTCTATTGGCTATTTAGTCAAGATCATTTTAACATTAAAATAAAAGCAGATTAAACTCAAATCAATTATAAATGAGCAAAGCAATAACTCATAAATATTCTATGAAAACATAGAACCAAAATCATCCAAAAATAGTAACTAAACATGAGCATAAATTACTCCATAGAACATTGCACCAACAACGCCACTCCCATGTTCCTCTGGCTGGTTTGCTGAACATGGTTAGAACTAACGCCTGTATGAGAGCTCAGAAAACATCATTGCCTTATGCGAAATGTTATGGATGACCAGGGCCACAGATGCAGAAAGTGCTGGAGACATGTCCCACAAATCACATGCGTCCGTTACGCCCATGACCTCAGCTCAGCTTCCCACCTCAAAGAACGGGACTGAAAATTAAACGGACCCCTCAGGAGGTAAAACAACTGATTTGCACAGCCGAATATCTGATCCTGATGAAGACCATGACCCTGAGGAAAAAAACGATGATTACAGAAACTCATTTACCCGTGATTGAAGTGGTCGGTACAAATGGGCTCATCATTTCAGTGATAAGACGATGATGAGCTCCTCTCATCTGGGTGAAGATGCGTAACACACACACACACACACACATATATATGCTAATGGAACTGCAACGAAGTGACACTTGGCGAAAATTACTTAGATGAATGACTTAGATTAAGGTTTTATATGCCATCAGTGTTTTAAAAGAACGTTTTTTTACCCCAGATAAAAGAAACATATGGTTACTTACATGTGAAGCATACAAGGCGTCCTACTCTTTGTACGTTGTAACGATTATAAATGTGTAGTTGCAACAGATTGCATATTTACCTTTTGTGTAAATCTTTATTTGTTTGACAGTAAATATACATCAGGTTAGATAAGAATGCAAAAACAATAAAAATGTTGGGCTACTTTCGCTAACCATAATTAATGAATTGCATGTGTAAACTATGAAATTGGATCATCAGTTGGACATGTTTAGCTTTACTGGGCAGTGTGAGTGGGTTTACGGGGGACACAGTTGAGTGCCTGACAGACAAGATAGGGAGTGGTGCCAAACAGACTAATTTTAGGGGCTTGAGACTATCCCAGATGACAATAAGTGAGAGGCAGGATACACCCTGAACAGGTTTCCAGTCCAATTTATTGTTTTGATTTGAAACAGGTCTGTTGTTCTTACTTAATAGACAAAAGAGCCCAAAGAGGATTTATAAGAAGCTGTGAACCAGTTATCATCACCCCTTAATCTGATTATATGTGCTCTGAAAACCGAACACAATTAAACAGGTTTTTGAGTCTTTTCATAAAGAATAGAATAGAATTATTTTTTGATCCCAGAGTGGGGAAATGTACACGTTACAGCAGAAAAAAAGGGAAAAAGCTAAAAGACAGTGGAGGCATACATAGATAAAGGTTATTCACAATTAAAATAATACATTTGCATTTTTATTTACAATGCAAAGTAGTGTGCAATACACAGGTCGACAGGACAAATGGCGTTTATGTCATGTTGGGGTCTATATTTCTAGCCCACATGCAGAGCACGACTCAGGAGAGCAATAAAGTATATGAATGAGTTTATTGGATTGGAGGGTACTGCAGAGTTCGGGGTCCTCGTTTTCCTTGTGGTCCTGGAGGTACAGCGCTTAGCCACAGAAATCCTGATGGTAACGAAGGCGGGCGTCGGGGGGCGGACAGGTAGACTCAGGCCGGTCGGAAGCGAGAGGCGGGTCGACTCCAGTGGGGAGATCCAGGAGGAATTTTGCGGTCGCCAGAGGAGGTGAGTCAGGAGAGTCCAGGACTCCTCAGGGAAAACCACCTGGAGGCAGGAAACAACAAAGAGAATAACTACTCGTTCCGTCAACAAGAAGAAATAGAGACTGGCTCTAGGGCCTCAGAGGTACCGTTGCTGGCTAACACTCAGGCATCAGAGTGGCGGCCGTCAGCTCCTCTTGTACACCTTGCCTGATGAGCAGATTGATCTCAGGTGCGCAGGATGACGACACACCACTCCAGAGAGAAGTGAGTTTGGTGCCATCTGGTGGCAAGATGGTGAGTAGCCGAACCCAGACTCAAGGAAAACAAGGAACCCCGGAACACAACAGTTTATACACGTCTAAAAGCTGTGAATGCAAATTCAACTACGTGCATCCTTGTCTAATATCTTTTATCCTCTGTTCCTGTTCATCCAGATAGCCAATCCTGGTCTTTTTATTAACTTTAGGGTTGCTTTTGGACTTTCATGCATCTTTTAAAGGTTAGCCCAACTATCCATATTGCAGGTCAGCTTCATTTATCTGAAATTGGCTCTTCAAACTACATAACCCTTCATCAAGCATGCTCCAAACATTGCCTTATGACATCCAATCTTTCACAGGAACATGGGGGCAGACAAAGGCCCCTGAGCAGGGGAAGAGTCTTGTTTCTCAGCTAAACTGGGTCCTGTGGCTGCTGGACTGCCTACAGTTGGGTTGTTACCGCCGTAGAAAAAGCTGTGTTAGCATAATATGACATTGTGGCATATAGTATTTAGCAGTTTTGATTTGATTCTGTTGCTGCCATTCTTCTTGAGCAGAATGCTTCACAGTGTCGTTGACATGTCAAATGTCTCAAAGTACCATACTGTTGTTAACCATGCTATTCTTCTCCCTACACCTGATGGCTGCGAACCACCCCCACCATGATTGTGCTGCAGTTCTGGAACTGGTTTGCACTCCAAGGCCAGATTCCTCTGACACACCTCAGTTTAATTCAGACACTATAAATGCATTGTGTCAGGAAAAATAAGGGTTTATCCTGACCCCGTGTTCTTTCATCTGTTAATGAGGCATTCTAGATTAATTATACAGATTCATAAATCAAAGTAAATCAAAGTGAAAGAATAAAGTAATGCAAATTGTGCAAGATTGCATGGAGCTTGTTCACTCTACCAGTGGATCAGCACTCACAGGCGCATGCAGGAGAGAAAAAGGATGTCTAACTTAGTATTATACAAGCATATATAGTGTATTGTCTATCTGTAAGGAATGTCCAGTTGTTGTGGAGGGCCATCTGGGTGTTTCCTTGTCAGCTGAATTGGTCCGGTTGTTTTTCTGTCCTGGCAACAGATCTGTTTTACGCTGAGATCCTCCTGTTGTGAGTTGAGGTTTTTCCTGCAAAACTCAGACAGATGATGCTCCCATAAAGAGAACTCCATCTGATCAGCAAAAGGTGTAGAACAACTACGAAAAGTAAACTGAAAACGTTTTACTCTTTCAGTGTCTCTGCCGCTAGCAACCTCTGATATCAAAGAAAGAGGAAAACTCTGACCATCAACTCCAGGAGTCATGTGTCCATGTGTACGCAGAGGGGACAAATAGTTGGAGTGGTGTCTTTTGGTGTACTCATAATTATACTTGTCCACCCTATGGTTTTTAAAGTTTCAGAACACATCAAACAATTCCTCTCTTGACCTTTGAAACATTCCATTGTAATAGTGATTGCAGTTTCCTTTTACATTGACAGAAAAATTAAAAACACCTTTTACTTATTTCATCCTTCAACTTATTTTAAAAGCTTTCAATCCTTTTTTTTTAATTATTTGAGTCGGTTAGCCCTGGGGAACGTAATGAATTTTATCCCAAAACTTAAACTGTTTTCTCCATGAATTTTCTTATTTTAGCTAGATTTGGAAAATATTTCAGTTTATTATTAGTATTATTGTTCCCTAATGTTGATTGGTATGATATACACCATTATATTAATAAGAGGAGACTGGAATGGAATTTTTAAAATCTGATTACAGGCACAGTTTTACTGATCATTTCCCCCCGTTGTTCTGATTTGGTCTATTCGGTGGGAAGGATACAGACAGACAGACATACAGACAGCAGCTTCTAGTATTGAAGTTGCATAGCCAAATCTCCCCAGAAGGTGTGTGGATCAGAGGTCTAACACCTCCCAGTTCTCTATTCAGGGAGGTTTATAGAACATAGTAACATAATATTTTTATCCCAGAGCTGCTTTGTACTTAATATGAATAACTTGTGCATCATGTTGGTTGCTCTCACATAAACTTTCCTTTAAATTCAATTATTATCTCTTCATTCCTCATGCACTAAGACTACTGTTAAAAATGAAAGATTACAGAATTTAAATGTAAACATCCATCCCATCTTCAGCACCTTTTCTGCGAGCTAACAAAACTGTAAATAGTTCCTGACCAAAGAAGGCACGGACTCTTGGGTTGTGTTTGAAGATTGGCATGTAGAGCATGTAGAGTGGGAGGCCTTCCCAAATAAACTATTTCAGCGAAAACCAAACATAGATGAAACAAGAAGCAATGTAAGAAAAGATCAATAAAATCTGAGTGTACAAAAAAGGCTGTATTTATCAAAATTGAATTATTTGTATTGTAATCATATGGTTAACCACTATGTGGAGAGAGTGGAGAGTGGCTTTTGTGTAGAAATGTACAGATTCTTTGTACGGTAAAAGTTTTAAATGGAAGGCAGTTTAGCATACTCTTATGGAAGAGCTCATGGTCAGCGCAAGTCAATGGGTAATTTGAAAAAGTAAAACAACAGAGAGACACGCTCCGAGTGTCATGATTCCCAAGGTGCATGTATGTATCTTTGTCTTTTATTCTGAAGCTTCAACCACCAGGATCACCAGCAAAGGCATTTAAGGAGCTGGCTGTGGTTCATTCCTTGCCGAGAATTTAGAATAAACCTTGTGGAAGGTCTCTGGTCTCTTGAGTGGCTCTCTGCAGGTGGGTCAAGATGCTTCCTCGCTCCGTGACACAGAGACATGCTAAGAGTAGGGAAAGCATTTATTTAACATAAACTAACGGTATAAATCCACACAGACAATAACAGTATTTTACATCTGTAAATATGAAAATGTACAAGAGCAGTGTTGGTGGAGCGGAATCAGTTTAGGTTCTAAAGCTTAAACCTAATAGGCTTACAGAATACTTTCAAATGAAGGTCTCTGGCTCTCGAGATACCCCAAATATTTGACTATTACAGAAAAATTATAGTAAAATAAAAAATAATAATTACAGACAATATCTATCCGGCAAAACTGCATGTACAGTACATGACAGGAATAAGACAACTTTAAAGGAGCTATTTATACATAAAAAATGTCAACTCTGGACCATCCATCCATTGTCCGCCGTTTAGCCGGGCGGGGGAGCTCTATTTTTCATCATAAGGGGTCCTTGGACTGCACTTTATCTGATCCCTCGCCAGTTTTAACTTAAACATAACTTTAAATAAGGGAATCAAATCTCATCACAATGTTACAATCATTGAAATACTCCTGTTTGAGGTAAAAGCCGAGGAGAATGCAGAGATACTGAATTCTTTCACCTAGCCTTGGCATGGACATCTATAAGCCCAGCAAAAAATTGAGCCAACAAGCTTACACTCATGTTAGTGAACACATTTGTGTACAAATTATTCTTACTGTTCAAACCTAGAGAGCCCTTTAAAGTAGTTTCCAGCTCTCACCTTTCAGCAGCAGGAGAGTCACTGTACATCAAACTGCTCAGAGAAAAAAGTAGTCTTAGAAGTTTCCTTTTTTCCTCAGCTTTTCTAATGGCGTCCTTCTTCCTGAAACACAGAGCTACAGCTGCTGTCTTTGAGACCAGGTTTTTACCTTTATTCACACGAATTTTGAAATAAGCCCATAAGAAACCAGACATCTGAGAGAATTTTACTTTCTCATTTTGAACACTGTTTGTCTGTTCGACACTGATAACTGACAGTGCATTTAATATGTTTTGTTGCATTTATGTCATATGAAATGGTGTAATGCAAAAATAGCTAATTGTTCTATCGATCTGAAAGCAAGAGACAACCAGTTTCCTTCATTAAGATCTGAATTTTGTTGAAATGTGTCAACATGGTGACAATGGTAAAAAAAAAGTAATACAAGACTTGTCTACACATTTGATATATATTACATACAAGGACAACCTAGTGCACATTGGCTGTTAGTCAGTATCATATGTACAGAAGTTTCATGTAGAGCAAATACATTCTGTTTTGAATAACCGTTACAGAAAATAACTTAATTGGGGACTCCGTAAACAGGAAAAACATTTACAGACATAAAGCATACTGAGCAACAGAGGAGTGAAAAGTTATCCTAAAGATAAATTAAAACAAGGCCACAAACAGGCACACATTAACAGCTTTGGATTGGCAGTCCTGGCCACAGTGGGTTTGTCTCAAAGAGCAGGAGATGTAAGCATGAGACCTGAGTCCAACTCCCAAAATAACAGTTTTTTATTAGGGCCTTGCGAAAGAAAGACAATATTTTAAGAGACATTTGCTTCTAAGCTTAAAAATGAAACTCTAGAACATTACTTTAGCCTGAAACAATGGGAGTATCCCTAAAAGTTAGAAGGTATGTCAAGAAGAGCTCAAATAATGAACATTGCCAAAACTTTGTCCTTCCCCTCACTCCTTCATAGACCTTAACAAGCATACTTGGAACAGAAAACATTAGACAAATGCACAGATGACCAGACCCAAGGGTATGTTCACCCTGCAGAATTGAAATGACCCAAATTTGAGTTTTTGGCCCTTTATGAGACCTGTACTCAACTTAGATTTTTTTCAAATGTGACCCAGGCCACTTGGATAAATGGTCCTAAATCTGATACATAGTCAAGTTTTTCAAAAGTGACCTGTGCCAAGAAGCACAATGCCAAAGTCTGTGTCAGTGTCAGTGGGTAAACATTTTGCAGAGTTGCAAAAATGACATAAAAAGATGGCTTATTTGTTTAAGCTTTAAAAGGCACAAGTAATGAGATTCTATGTTCAGTTGGGGAAACTTTACATCTGGTCATGAAAACCGAAGAACCAGGGTAAACACAGGTTCATGTGGAAGATGAATATTCCAAATAAACTGTATTATATAGAGAGAAACCTGGTTTTATTTAAGAACAGAGGACAAGAGGACACGATCCAAAGGCAAGTGAAGCATGTTGAGCACGATGAGTTTAAGTTTCTATATTAAAAAACTGCATTTAGCGGCAGAAAAGTATACATTGTTATCCCCTCTGTACCTTTTTTAGTGTGGACGATGTTCTCTTGAGCCGGCTCTACCTCAGAATTTAATATGTTATGCTGAGCCTGCACAACATAGGTTTATGTATGTAAGCTTATTACAAACTGATAGATTAAAGAACATTTGTAGCCATTATTAGAGGCAGAGACGACATTAGGGCAGATATGATAAGACATACAGTACATACACAGACATACCAATTTATTTGTCCACAGATCAAATTTCACCCACTGCATTTCTGGATTTGGTCTTTATTAGACTGTGGTTTTAGCTCCATCTGCATCTTACAGTCGAATCTCACATGAAATGCCTGGACAGTGATCAGAATACTGATCATTACAAGGCTTTTTAAGTTTGTACAAATCACATCTTGTGTTTTTTTGCCATCATAAAACATCAGTTGAACCAATATTTCCATACCGCCTTTAACCTGTCCGGGGTCATTATGTGTGTCAGATTATGTGTATCTGAAGTAATGTTATTATACAGTACACCGTGTGTTAGTTTGGCCTGAGAACAAGTTAGATTGGACATTCCCCACTTCAAAAGTATGTATACCAACAAACTTTGCATTTGAAAAATGTTTAATCACACTATGCATTTTGCAGGAACTTCTTAGTGCAAGCAGCAGCATGTAAAACAAACCGACATTTGGCAGAAGCTGAAGAATAGTGTGAAGTTTAGATAGAAATTAAGTGTAGTGTAAAGGCTCTACTCAATCAAAACACACAATATATAAGTTGGAAAAAATCATGATAAAGAATTATTGAATACAAATTAAGTCTTCAACAAACAAATAATTAATTATATCCAATTATAACAACCTTTAGTTCCGAAAGGTTTGGAACTAAAGATTCCAACATTGATATCAATCCAACATTGATATTTAAGCTCCCATGAAAATATTATTTTAAAAATCAAGTTGCATTACAACTTACAGTAAACATAACACATCTGTGAGTGTGTTAACATTAAATTACATGTGTCTTATAAACATGTAGTTGTCCAAGCTCAACTACTTAATGACACTTGTAAATAAAAATGTTGAAAGGCAGTTATTCATGATACACATGCATTACTATGAGTTATGCTGTGTACATCTTTGTGAGAAAGAATTGTTTGCTAAGAAATGCTGCTAGTTCACAGCTAGCTGCTGAACTCTTCCCCTCTGAAATAGAGGAACTGTCTGTTTGTAGAGCTGGAGGGTTGTCGATGTGACTGTAGGAGCTTCATCATGTCTGTGACTATTGTATATGACTGAAAGCTGGATGCTTTGGTTTGAGAGACAGGAGATGTAGGTGTAATAGCAACTCCTCACAGTCCCTACCTGTCTGTAGAACATGTGCTTTAGTGTGTAAAGAGACACTATGCATAAACCTGAGAGGCATTTTATGTGTATATATATCATTATTATATATAATGATATATAAATCAAACTGACGCAACTGTCTTATCAGGTTAATGTTTAATCTCTTTAGATCTAGATATGGTGTGCCTTGACAGCAGTCAAATCATGCTCAAGGGACCCTGAGGAAGGTAACTACCCCATATAACAGGACAAACATTTGGTAACCTTTGGTCAGGGTCATACAATTCCCTTGTAGCTATTTTTTATTTCCAATCCAGGTCTACAGCTGAGTTGCTTGTTGACCAAACTTCCACGATTAAACCACTGCTTTTAAACAGTATATGTTTCTTTAAGAGATATTCCTTTACTGTTTGAACAACGACCAATTTTGTTCTAATTGTAAAATGCCTTTGGGCAACCTCAGATTTTTCTCTAATTTTAAAATGGCTCGGGGGAATTGGACCTTCTGCTAAACATAGTGCTTTAAAATGTTAATTTTGTTTAAAAAAGATTCCACGTGAACCAGAACAGCACCACGTGCAGGCAAGACACCTGTATGGTTCTTACCAAGTCCGGCTGGTCACACAGTGGTCATCAGTTTGAGCGAACCTGTCTTGAACCTAAGGATCTTTTTCTTTAGGTTATAAGAGGCCTTAACTTTAACAAAAGCCTTCGTCTGAGCTGTACTCGTTTCTTGTCCAGCGAAATTGACCCTGACTGTCCCTAACTGTCCCCAACCGCTGCGCACCCCACGTTTCCGATCCCCAGCTCCACCTCCCAGACTCTCCTCTGTATCGCTTGCAGTGGTGCCCTCCTCCTCACTGGACTCGCTATCCCCAAAACAATTTGTGGTGTAACTGGACTCATTCTCACTAGTGTCCACAATGGTGGAGTGAAAGAGGGACGTGCACTCTGCTGAATACTCTGAGTCACTTCCAGTAATCTTAGAGTATGGGCTACCGTGCTTCCCTTCAAAAGGGGTGTACATGTTTGTTGCAGAGTTGCACATCCCCTCCTTTTTGTGGTGCTGCCGGGCTTGCTTGGTTGTCCTATCATACGGGATCTCCAATACAGCGTGTGATCGCCGGTAATCTTTTCGTTTGTACTGTGGTTTCGCAACAACAACCTGGCTGTGCCTGTGTCGATGGGGATGTTGGCAGTGGCTGCTACATTTGTGGTGGCGGTTCTTATGGTGGTGGTGCATAAATACACTGGTTCGCAAAGTGCTTAGTGTTAACGTGGTTTTCGTCTCTTGGCCTTGGCTCTCTGGAATGGATGTAGAGATGCAATTCATGCTTGAGGAAGCACCTTTCTTAGATACTTTTTGTTTGGTGCCTCCATTTTCCAGGAGCTGCAGTTCTCTTGAGCTGGACTTGTAGCGATATTTATCACTTCTTCTGTCTAGTAGCATTTCTTTATTTTCATTTGCCAAAACTGTCTCCATAGTCGTTTCGATTTTATTGGTAGTTCTGACATTCTTGCGATTACTCTTTACATTTTTTACCCTACTCCGCTTGGTCGGACAGCACACACTGTTGCGACTCTTCCCTCCTTCTCTTACTCGTCCTTCCTTCAGAATCTGAGAGGAAGTCCCCAGTGCTGTTAACTCAAGCAATCTGTCGGCACCTTCTCTCTTGGGGCCTTTCTTGCGGGAACCGGACTGTACATTGACAGGACAAGGCGATTTAAGAAGCTGCTCTTGTAGAGTGGTGCAACATAGCCGTGATGTCTCTTTCTGGGTGGAATTAGAGGGTGGACTGCCAGGTTCCCTGAAAACATTCAGAGGATCTGCAATGGACACAGGCATGTTCTGTATGCCATTGCCATTAAACTTGAAGCCATTTTGAATCATATTAATATTATCAAGGAACACAGTCTGAGTATCTTTCTCCTTACTCTCCTTTGAGCCCTCTGCTGTACCTCCAGTGAGGCAAGAGGGTTTCATTTCAGATTCCTTAAGAGTACTCATACAAGAACCAGTACCAGAAGCCTGCCTCCCACAGAGACCAGTCTGTCGCTGAATGTTCTTTGAGGGATCTGTGCTAATGGTGGTCCTTGGTCTACTGCTTCTGATGGGCTGGGCTCTGCGCTGCAACAGACTATAAATGTAGCTCTCCATGTTCTTCTGGGAGTAATAGCCCAGGGGAGCCTGGCAGTATGTGCTCTTAGCTGGAAGAAGGTCTGACACAGACTCAGAAATAAGGGAAGTCTCATGTTTGAGACATTTAGCGCCAGTCTCGTCTCTGTCATGACGTCCATAACAAAACGTGTTCAGGAAGGTGGAGCTTTGGATGGCCATAGCACTCAGCGGGCTTGGGTAATGATAAATATTGGTGCCATTTTGGGCCAGACGATCAATATAATACGAAGATTGGAACTCAGTTGAAAGTGCTGAAGATGAGGCATCCATATGGTGTGGGTGAAGAGCTGAGAGTAAGCGGCAAACTGCTCCAGAAGAAGACGAGTCAGTGCAAAGTCCTCCAACCAGTACATCCCGTTCCATGCAGCTAGCCAACTCATCTGGTGACGGAGAGAATTTAACATTTAGGTTTCAAGCCTATAAAACACAAGTAAGCTGAACTAAACACAGTTGTAAATCATTTTTTCGTTATTACATGAGTGCTGTGAAACAGACTGATAAACATTTTTTTTAATGTCATCTATAAACAGTCTAAATGGATGTGAATTCATTCCATGTAACCATGTTTCCCAACAGCTGGCTGGAAGTTTGCTCTGGGAGCACTTTTCTAATGAAATGATCTGTTGTGTGAACTTCTGACTGTGCTTGGGTGGGCTGTGGATGATGAGCTCTAGAATAAATAGTTGGAAAATTATTTTCATTGGCAATAGTGTGCTGTGAGGCGTAAACCCACTTAGCCCACTGTTGCACATGTAAATAAAACTATACACCCGACAGAGTTTGGCGGAATATTTAGGTTAGCCTGTTCTTGTACAGTCTATTTCCAGTTTAATTCCTTTTCATGGGATGCCAGGAAACCACTCCACAGACCATCATTAGGACTCAGCAAATCCACAATAAACTCACTTCTTGCTCTATCACCTCAATAAATGAATGAAAAACTGATCAGCATGGCTTTGTGCTCAACTTTTTTTTTCTGAAAAGGATATATAGCCTCAGATCCTGGATGGAGGTGAGAAAGGGACCTGTCTCTCTCTGATAAACAAAGATTGCAGTGCGGAATTGTCCTTCACATTTGAGGGGCTGGTGACATAACTGCTTTCAAATATGTCTGACAAGCACACAGCCTGAATGGCACCCTTCTCAAATTGTTGGTTTCAGCAACATTATCATATCATTTATACATTATTACCAAGACATTCCCATTCAGACATACCCAAAACAGAAAAGAGAAGATCCATGATATACTGTTTCCAGAACAACTCATATTACCCTGACACGTGTGCTGTAGTTCACTAACCAATCCCAGCAGTGGATGTGAGAAGATGAAAATTTCACCATTTTATGTGTGAAAGCAGAAACACTTTTTAAGTGGCATGTCCTCTACATTCCCACCATGCTGAAGGATGACATGTAATGGTGGGCCCGCCATGTGTGGTCTGTTGCTTACACAGACAGTGAAACGAGGAATTCTGCTTTTGCTGCATTCCTTCAACATTTCCTCATGCAATATATTTCCAAACGGTGATAGATTATTTTTACCTGCTAAAAGTCTTTTCACTCTAAATAGTAATGATAATGGAAAACTTGGAATGCTCAGCTTTTAAAAAGATTACAAGCCCTATATTTGTGGTTTGGGGTAATCTGTAAAACACTACATGGGCTGTATTGGGGTAAAATTGCCTCCCTGGATCTTTTTTAGCCACGGTTGCTGTAGTCTAAATATAGAAAGGTCCTAAAACAAAGACATTTTTCCATTTGGTAATATAGCAATTCCCCAAGAAAGCAAGTCGTTTTTTTCTATCAGCTGACTAATGTGGTGCTGCTGCTTGTTAGAGAGCCATTTTCTGCACAGACATGCATTTTTCTGCCATGCCTTGAAAACCAACCTCATTTGTCTTTGAGCTTATCTCTGCAGCTGGTTCTGAGCTACACATGATAACCAGGATTGCATGGCAAGATCCAACAGATATCATCCTTCCTGGAGCATGCTTTATGAAAAAGATTACAGAGAGCTGGGCTTCAACCATCTAACAAAGTGTTCCATTTTCTTGTTCATTTTACTCAGGTACTAAGAAGAAATAAAACTTATATTTAAGCAGTATCCTTGTAAAATAAATTACCCTCTTTCTACTCTTCATCCTGTTCCCACATGGTTTCTACTCTTTAAAGGCAGTAACATTTTCAATGCTAGAATGTTAAACTATTAGATATATTGCTATTGGGTGTCCTTATAAAAATACAAATAATAATTAAGAAAAAATAGAAAAAATGTTTTACAAATATCATTTTTTTAATGTGTTGTTCCTGCATTCCTGCATTTTTGAAGACACAGGATCTGCACTCCATAAGTCTTTGTTTAAGAGGTCAGAGAATATTTTTATGTAACAACTCTGTGAGGAGTAGGAAACTGGGGATATACCTGTGGATGGGAAGTGTCCGTCCGTGTCAGTTGCTGAAAACAAACACTCGCTGTAGACCGAGTGAGACGAATTTGAGAGTGAGCCAGAAGCCCCGTCACTCAACTCATAGAAACCTGATGAGGAGAGGAGAAAAAGAGATGACCACATCTTTAAACCCCTAATGAGAGCAGACAGATCGTAACATTTTAAGTTGTAAAATTGACTCCCTGTAGAGGTTACAGGAGGCTAAATTCAGTTAGGGTTAGTCATCTCTACATAAAGTCACCTCAGTTCTGCTTTTCACATGCTACAGACGCCACATATTACACATATTCTGGAAATAAACACTTTTTAAACATGCATAACCTGACATGTGCTCTAACTAGACTCAAACCAGATCAACTAAAACAACATGAGAGTTTCTGCCACTGATCACAGTTACGCATCATAATTCTGCACTACCTGAGCTTGGTCGGCTGTCGGTTTCCGCTTGGTCAGGTGACACATCAATGTCCAGTCGCAGGTCACTGATCTGCTGGTCCAACTCCTGCAGCTGAGTCATCAGTCCAGCATCCCTCCTCCTGAGACAACTCTGACAAACACACACAAAAACATCAATTTCTGTATTGTGTCTTTTTTTTAAATAGAGATATTCGCGATTAAGATACATTTCTGTCTTATTTAACTTGTTTCTCTGTATGATCATATTTTCATTAATATAGTTTCAAATTACGAAGTAAAAGATTTGAAAAGCTGTAATTTTGTGCGTAATTTTATTCTGTTTTATACTTTTATACTACTACCCGTTGAAGTTTGGAAACATTTTTCTATACTTTTTGATTGAAATTTGGATGTGTCCAAATTTCCCTCTCTCCCAAAGATGCAGCAGCTGGTCTCCTCAGCTCCAGATGTTTGCAGATTGATGTTAAAAGGAGACGGGGGTGCTACTGTTGTGGATAAAATAGCAGTCAGACTCTCCTTTGCAGCCCCTTAGGGGGAATTCTGTGTGTATGTTGTCTTACTCATGCATCACACTGCAGCATTAACAAAGGTGAGTTCAACCACTATTTTCAACAAGGTAGGAAATGTGGAGCATAAAAATAACGCTTATTATCTTACTCTGAGACTCACTAATCCTCGTCTCCTGTTTTCCCTCCCATTTTACACGGTGTTCCAGTGGTGTAAATTGGAACAGCAGCTCACTCTTGAACTGCTGCTAAACTCTTAATGCATGAATTATTGAAACGGAGTAATTAATAAGTGGTTTATTGTAGCTAAGTCAAGTCAGACAGCCTGGATCAACCCCTCCCCCATCGGATGGAAAACATGTGCTTTATGCAGCGCTGCTCGCAGGTCATGTGCCACATTCCTGCAAGTGAGCTGAACCAAGAAACAGAAGCGTTCTGCTGCTGGCTCGCCGCAAAAATGTCATCGTTCATGCACAACCACGCAACCACTTGAGTAAGAAAAATGTTTTAACTATAATAAAGCGCTTCAGATGACCTTAAATGGAAATGTCACTTCAAATATGTCTCTTGTCTTATCTGTGTGTATCTGAGAGCCCACTTCATGCCCCCTTTGTAAAGAGCAGCATGGTTTTTTTGGATCAGGACAGACAGGACATTTTGTCCACTCCTCTATGTAGGTCAGAGCTGAGAATTTGAGGTTTCAGATTGGGATCCACATCGGAAGGTCCTAAAACACAGCCAAACAAAGTGAAGCAGCTGAAAGAACATCTCAGTGCCCTGCATCCTAAAAAAGTAGAAAACGCCTGTCTGAACGCAACATTGTCTTGACTTTTTAGCATCAGAAGCATTATTACTCAGTTAAACAGCAGCGTCCTCCCCCAAAGTGTCCGAAATAAACGTTAGTGAAGGTGTGTTGTCCTGAGTAGAGTCATGTCTTTCATCGGTTTTCTGGGGAGATGTTGTATGTACAATAAAAAGATTCCTGGGAAGTTGTTGATCTTTAAAAGAAAACAATAAGCTGATTCTGGGGGAAAAAAGGTGACCAGGAGTCAAGTAAAAAGCACGCAAATCTCTCCTGTCAATGAGTCTTTGAAAAAATAGAATCCTATTTAAAATGCTGGGGAGGGATAAACGTAAATGAAGTGTTACAGTTTGCTTTGGGGGGTGAGAATATCCAACCACAGGATAGAAAATACACAAAGTCTGAGGAAAAAACAGAGGCCAAAAAAATACAGTGGAGATCAATAAACGACGAGCAGCTGAGAACCAAGTGAGAGGAGCAGACTCGATGACATGAATGGAAAATCACTGAGAGGGAAGACAAGCAGAAGTGAAGGAGGAGGAGGAGACATTTGCTCAAATTTGCCAAAAGAATGTGGACAGTTTTCACTGCATTGATGACACTAAGCCTTATGTTATCCTTGAACCTTTTTACTTTTAAATTCTTTTCAATGTTGCATAGCACAACGTTTTTTTTTTACTCCAATACTCTACAATGCAAACTACAAGAAAAGGAGGAACAGAAGACAAGCCTTCAAACCACAACGTGCTGCTATTTATGAGCATTTAGCTCCAGAAATACTAATCACACTCTTCTTTGCATGTGCATTAATGTGAAATAAATATAACAACCACGTTCTTGTTTCAGACTCTCCTTCCTGTGCCATCAGGACAGTGTCAGACAAGAGCAAAATAAAATAAAAAAGATGTAAATTGCCATTGTCTGCATTTATAACCCTGGTTAACGTGTCATTTATTTGAAAGGTAAAACTCTCATAAGGTCAATCAATTGCCTCAAACACTTAGACAAATCAATATAAATCCATGAAAAGATGAGAGAGCCTCGAAGTAACAAAGACATAACATCCCCTGTAACCATAGAAACATACTCTCACTGCAGCCTTCACATATTTCACAGAAGACGATGCCACAGAGGAGGAGCAGCAGCGTGAATTACACCCAATTTAAAAAAGTTATGGTGACAGTTCTGCCTGAAAAATTTTGCCAGACTTTCAGTCGTCTGTTGCAGCTCCACAAAGACGTCCGGTCAATAATCTGTCTGTGTGCCACTGTCAGAGTCTCTGCCAACCCCGATATCCTGTTAAAGAGAGGCTGAAAATAAATCTGGATAATGGAGGACTAGGAAGGAGGGACTCGGGTTTGACTTTACCTCTGACTGTTATCTCAAAGGACACTCCCGTTTGTCCTTTCATTCTGTTGAAACCTCACAAAATAAGCAGCAATTCCATATTTTGTGGATTCGGAACTGAAACGAGGCATTTTTGCTAAACAGGGAATTGTGAGCATTGAAGAACATGGTATACTGAGACCCTGCTGGTGTGCGCTTCCATGGAAACCACATACTTTCAGATTTCTGCGCCACTCAGGGACATAAATAAGGTCTAATTAACTCATACAGTTGGACTTTTACAGATGTGTGTGGTTGTACATACATATGTACAACTGTGCTGCAAGATCCCCCACAATAGGCAAGACACAAACTGACAAAAAAAAAACAACGTAATGTCATAAATCAACTAAATACTCTTTTATAACCCAAAATGCAACACTGATCATTCTGTGTGCAAACACATTTACATCATTATAAACGCTATCCTCAAAAGCTTTACATGTACACGCCACACTTTGTGGTTGGAGGTCGCCTTTATGGTGTGTTCAAGTGCGTTTTTGCACCGCATTGCAACTGGCACTTGGTCTCGGTAGAGGTTTGGTTTAGTTTATAGGAAAGCACACACTCAAACCTGACCTAGAGACAAGACAGGATGTGATGAAGTTATGCAAGCAGCTCACGTCCGATTTGAAGAAAAGCAATAAGAATTAAGTGAGAGAGCATCTTTAAAGAGTAGCTGCATGTAGGTGTGGTATTTAACACTGTCACATCACAACAAGAATGGCTTCACTGTGTGGAGTTTGGATGTTCTCCCCTTGTATGTGTTGGTTCTCAGATTAACTGGGAATTCGGCATTGACTGTGGCTGTGAGGATGCATTTATCTCTGTGTGGCCCTTCCATGGAATAGTGCCCTGTCCTAAGTTCAATGGCTGGGATAGGCTCCAACCCAACCAAATTATGACACAATTATTTCTAGATTAAATGCTTTTTTTAAAGAAAAGGTCTGCGAAAAAACTTGTGTTACTCAGTCTCTCTCTGCTGAGGATATTGGTTTATTTCTGAGTGCAGTGACCATTTCAAAGGGTCTTTTTAGCTACCTTTCCTTTTCTAACTTGATCAAACACATTGAGGACATTTGAACCGGTCCAGTGTTTTAATTCATAACTATATATAAAGTCAAATACACATTTTTTTAATAACATTGTGCATGATGTGTCTCGAACACTAACATGATCATCGGCAAACTTTGACTTAATCTCCTCCAGCCTCTTTCCCATTTATTTGAATCAAACATGCAGGAGCAGGGAAACTAGGAAAACATAAAGAAACTGTCCTGCGTTTCCCAAACCTTGTCTTCAAAGCAGTGTGGGACCTTTATTGTGAACTTATTTACAGTACTGTCGTGATTCTGGTCGTTGCTGCCTCAACCCAATCATTGGGTACCACTCACCTGTTCTCCAGTGTTTCTATTCAGCTCCCCAACAGGCAGACGCTGCCAGGCTTTTGAAAGCCTTGAGTGAGTAAATATCCAGTATTCCTTCTCTTGCCTGACCACATTCACGACCACGTCTTTGTCTGTACCAGATCTTTGTCTTTCTGGACAACGGCCTTGTTTCTGCCCCTGTACTTCTGCCTCTCCTAGCCAACCAGTTACCAACCTGACTCTGACTAACCGGCTTACGACCCCCTGCCTGTCTGGGATAATCCATCAGAACCTTACTCCCCTGATTCACGGGGACTCTGGGAAGTGGTTCCTGGTACATACTCAGCGACTTCCTGTGTTCCTGCGTTTCAGTCCTGAATCATCCTTTTAGTAACACTGTGTTTCTGGCTTAAAGGCCCTCTGTCCCGAGCATTACAAGTTTCCTGTGACTGCTGTGAAATAAATAACGCCACTTTTACTGAAGCTCAAAAAAGAGGGAAAATCTTCATAACAATAATGCATTGAGCCACATCTTCACAAAGACTGGAGCTGCTGGTAGAGCAATGGCCCAGTTGCGTTTCACAGGTATGCTATATTTAAGCAAATCAATGGAAACTGTCATTCTCTGTGGAAATACTTTGTCGTTATGTCTCTAAGGAGGTACACAAAACTGTGCAACTATTTTAGGAAATTCGAAGGCCGAGTCTCTGAAGTGTCGATCAAATCTACCAAGCGCCATTTGATTTCTGCCACAGTATATCATGTTTGAAATAAATATGTGGGTTATTTTTATTTAATTAACAGATTCAGCGCTGCTCATCTGCAGCAATTTGACTGCTGACTTTAACAATTTGATTTAATATCTGTTTTTACGTGATCAAACACTCTAATTGTCTGTTTTCCAAGTTTACAGGAAGACATTACAGACTCTTCGTGTGCACTTTTGGACAAGACAAAGAGGCACAACAGAGAGAAAATGAGATAAACAGATCCACCAAGGGAAAAACTCCATGATCTCACTTAAATGAGTAATACTGACACATGGGTCAACGAGGGATTTAACGGATGATTACCAATAAGAAAATAAATTTGCATCCATAGAAAAACGATCCTTTTTTGCTTTCCTTATAAGAATGGGCATTAAGCCGAAAGAGACAACCGGCCTCCTGACTTCAGATACGACTTTAAATACGAATTTTTTCAGCGCGCCCCGGCTGATTCTGGGATTTGTAGAGCTTACGGCAGCTAACAGGAATTTCCATTTGTTCATGCTTGGACTGGGTGGGAGGTGGTGGTGATACTAATCTGCTCCAGATTCAAATTTAGAGCCACAGCTGCAGGACAGACGTTAATGAGGGGCACAAACAGAGAAACAGAGAAGAGAATAGACCGGGAAAATGGTCCAGGAAGCATGCAAATCTGCACTGCAAGAAGCGTTGAGTACATAAAGCAAAACGGCAGATCAGAAATCAGACTGACACAAACACCATCAGAAAAAGCCCAGAGAAAGCCGGAGTCTTTGTCTTAAAGACACCAGAGACATAAATGAGCACAGAATGCTGAAGAAAACTGCAGACGTACCAAAAAAAAAAAAAAAACATCTAATGACTGCTAATCTAATGAATCTACTAAAAGCTTTTTAAACCACGCAATAACATCACATGACTCTGGTCCAGGAATCCAGGGCCTCACGGAATAAAGTGCTCCTGCTTATACATTCAAACGCCTCACTCATTTTCGGTTTTGCCACTGAAGTTTGTCCAAAGTTGCAAATCAAGTCACATGACCGTCCACTGGCGGACCTGCAGGATGTTTCCCCAAGAAGAAATCCAAACAAAATGTCTGAGCCAAGTCTGCTGCGGTTACCTAGAACAGACCTTGCGTTTCATGCCTTCATTTAACTCCGTAAAGTCCATCATGTCCCTGAATTCTTTCACATAGAAGACCCTGTATGTGCGAGTTTCCATGTCAACAGCAGCAGTCCTGCGTGGTCTCATTATTATCAATTCAATTCAATTTTATTTATATAGCGCCACATCACAACAACAGTTGTCTCACAGCGCTTTCCAAACATAGCAGGTCAGACCCTACTCTGAAGTTAATTACAGAAACCCAACAATTCCCACCATGAGCAAGCACTAGGCGACACAGGCAAGGAAAAACTTCCTTTTAACAGGCAGAAATCTGGAGCAGAACCATGGTTACTATCTTACCTCAAAGCTATTCAGTGAGTCTCTCCAGAAACATGATTTATTTTTTGTATTTGGAGCGTGTCCCTGTAAATGAAGTCCTTTTTGGCCGTTTGGACGACAACGTTTTCCATTTCATAGTCCTCAAGTCTATCCTCCATGCTGTGACACCTGATGTGCCCCCCCCCCCCTCATACATGGCAGCAAATGCAACTACCTGAATTGATCTCATAGCTGAGGACTTATCTCTCTCCAACACACAAAGCTAGCTGCATAGCTAACCTTATTTGGACTTTTATTGATCTTTACTGTGCGCATCCCAATCTGAATCCTAACAAAAACCTCAGAAATGACATTTTGCGTCACCTCAGGAGCGGACTTTAGCCCCATTAGTTATAAGATCAGCGATTACATTAGAGTGGGTTTTAATGATGCTCTCTCTGGCTGAATATCTCAAACGTGAGATCAGTTCATCTCCCAGTAATCTCTCTGAGTCACTGGGACTGTGCAGACACAAAAGCCGGTACGTGACTTCCCTAAGGCAGCACTAGAGGCTAAACCAGTGGCTGAAGATGTTGGAAATGTTAGTTGTGACTTGTCAGTGGCTACAAAGACATCCTGGATATGCTCACATTTAGGAAATGTTTAATAACACACATAACCTCTCCTTGTGATGAATCATAAGCCCAAATATCCTCTAAACAAATAGAAAAACTGGTTAAACAGACCAAAAAAACTAGGTCGGCCAATTGCATTAATGCTGAACCACAGTGTAGCTCTGTCAGTCTTTACACTTTTTTTATATCTTCAGGCTCTCTTTTTAGTCTCAGAGGAGCAACTGGGAAATGTGCAAAAATCTGAGGTTTCGTTTCTTTGGGCGGAAACAAATCCATCAAAGAGCAAAGTGGATAGATATCATGGATCAGTTTCAAAAAGCAAACTAAAAAAGAGATGGGAAAGAGATGTAATAGCTGATGTAATCCACTGTCTCAGGCTGTCTGGTTATGGTGGTGTGCTGCTAAACCAGAAAAAGGAACCATTGTGCCATGGCACGGTAAGTGACCGCTGAGGACCATCTGGAGATGGTCTCTTGGGTCAGACGGGTCAGGGACCTACCAGCTGTATTCTCAGCATCAGGATGTTCTCCTCGGAGCTCAGGAGGACCTCTCTCTCCTCCTCATCCTCCTCTTCCTCCAGCGCGGCGCGCACCAGCGCTTTCTGCCGCCGGCGCAGGCGGTCCAGCTCCCGGATGCCGGACACGACGGCGTCCAGCCGCTCCCTGGACAGCGGCATCCCCTCCGGCCGGACCCTCTGCGTGTCTACGATCCGGGGGGACTTTTAGGACTTCTGGTGCATCTCACGGTTTTTTTTTTCCTCAGACACCGATCAGCTGAGGCTCACCTGGCTGATCTCAAGCCAGTCCTGGTCAGAGAGTGGGGTCTTAGCCGGTGGTCACGCGTCCTGCTACAGGGGACCGGTCAGTACTGGATGCTCAAGTAGGAACCGGGTCCTCCCGTCCTGATCCATGCATGGGAGATAACCCCCCCCCCCCAGGAGGACTCTGCCCTGCTCCTCTATGTACCTCTTTGTGCTGTGCTTTCCGCACACTGACCCTCTGTCTCAGAGTGAAGTCACTGACCACGCCCCCACACACACACGGCTCGTTGTGACGTCACGCACGCCTCCTTGCACTAAAACATTGAGGATTTTTACAGTCTGTTTGAGCAGATGAAGAATAACTGCTGTAGGATTAAACTGCATCACGTCTATCATAGAGAAAATATACATACATGGTTGTTTCTCTGTGAGGTCTTGTCTAGGATCCTAAATTGTTTTGGCTTCTGTTCCTATTTGATTCTTATTGTATTAGAAGCTTTATAAATTTGGGTTTTTTTGCTCCCCGGGCCAAGAACAGCTCATTACCTGCAGCTTCATAAAGGCTGCACACTTTAATCCTCTGTGTGAGAATATTGATCATCACATGGACAAACAGCTCTCCAAGGAGCCAATTAATCATTGTGGTCGATACTCTCACTCACACATACAGACCATTGCCCTCAACACTCAAGATCGTATGTATTCAACGTTAAAGCATGTTTTTTGGTTGGTTTGCAGCATTAAATAATTCATTTTATTGTGTTTAGTTGTGTGCGTGTGGCTCCAGCTACTTCATTAATTTGCTGCTCATCATCATCCTCTTTCAATCATACACAGTCTTCATCCAAAAATCCATTTCCCGTCCTATTCAAGGTTGGTAGTAAATCAATGTAAAGGCAAAGGCATGTGAGAATAGACATTAATTCAAATCAAACCAAAAGCTACAGCTAAAAATCTGTAATTTGACATCAGTTTATTGTTCAAGTTTAATAAAGTCAGGTTCATCCTTTTGGGTTAAAGATCTTCACAGGACAAACAGCATTATGTCTGAGCATTCATTCCAATGGGTAACAAGTACAAATAACTGAAAGGCCATAAACTTTTATCAAAAGCTTTCCTTTTGGTAATTTTTCTGAATGCCCATGTAGAGTGAATCAAACAGAACAGCCCTTAATTCCATTGCATTTTATGATGAAGCAGTCACTGTAGTGTAACAATTTTAAGGTTAAGGGTCTCAGAAGAGTCACTTAAATAAAACAAAGCGAGAGTAGTCTGAGGTAATCAGAAGACATCATTTGAGGAGGAGTCAGTGTAAGCGCTGAGTGGCTCCCCCCTGTCCATCAGCACATCCTCCTCCTCCTCTTCCTGGGGTCTGATGGAAAGCAGATGCTTTTTCTTCTTCGTACTTCCTCTGTGCTGCCCGTCCTCCTCCTCCTCCTCCTCCCCCTGGTGCCCAGCTTCTGATATAAACACAGTTCATCAGCATTTTTCTGAAGAAAACTGGTGAATTATATTTAGTCAGATTTTAAAGAGCAGATAATTAATTCATTTTTAATGGTGGAACATGGATCCTTGGCCTTTTCCTCATCATATTTAACATTATTTCATATTTATGAAGTGCATAATTAAATCATTCATATCATCTCAACCTCAGGGTCTAACCAGTGCAGCAGGTTTAAAGCCCATTTTGAGTTTGCCCAGCATGGCAATCTGTACTGTGTTTATGTTCTTTATATTTTCAACAGGTGTTTTTATCCAAAGCAACTTACAATGCAGATACAAGATTACAGTGAGCATCCACTTTACAATAATCTACATAGAGGGAAATCACTAGCCAGACAGCAATGGTGACACTGTAAAGGAGGCAAGTACACAAAGAAAAAGTGCAGTGGTACAGGTTAAGAGCTTGTGTAGGAGGTGCAGTGTGAAGTGGCTTAAAGGGTTTCTTGAAGATAGACAGGGGAGCCATTGTTCTTGGTAGATAATTCTACCATCATGGAACGACACATGAAAAGAGTCTGGATGTTTTAACTGGGATGTAGGCACTGCTACAAGAAAATCTATTGATGACTTTCATCCCTTTTGATATGTCAGAGAGACAGTCTGAGATGTGTGCTGAGACCGTGTGGTCATCAGGTGGAAATGACTGATAAAGCTGGGTGTCATCAGCATAACAGTGGTGTGAGAAACCATTGTAGTCAGTGCAAGGTGTCTTAGGGCCATCCCGTTTAAACTGAGTTGGCATATTTGATGAAATACATAGCTATACATCTGATGCTGCTCCAACATTGTCGGTCCTTTGAAATTTTTATTGCAACGATTTTAAAATGCTGGAGTAATCCTGCACAGCTGATGTGGAAGTGGTCAATGATTCCCAAAAACAACTGCATCAAAACCAGGCTCCCCACAATGCAACCTACAGTACTTTCCCCCCCCAACATTTTACTACTCATAATTTCCCTGCTATTAAATTATAATTAACTACATACACTTATGATCATCCCCAGGCTTGGTGGCCTGGACAGAAACAGTTTTACCTGCAGCATTACGGGTCCGATCCTGCTGGGCTGGATTTCTGGTCCTGATAGGTTTTGTGGTCTCACAGTCTCTAACCTCCCCCACACTCACATCCTCTTCCATCTCATCCTCCATCCCCCAGGAGCCCTGAAAACACAGCAGGTCAAAGGTTACCGAGTGTGTTTGATCTACATCCCCAACCACACTCCTGCTGACAACGGTACGATACAACACAGCCACCAAAACGAGTCGCTATCTAATCATGTGACTCTGGCGAATCAGAGCCCGGCAGCCTGCCCCAGGTGGAAAAGCAACAATACCATGTACAGCCGTGGCGTGATAGGTAGGAACTAGTGGAAGTGTGTGTATGGGGTTCAAGAGGGTCAGAATGAAACATGAAGACTCCTGCTTCTGATCTATATCATACTGTGTGAAAACTGAGTCATTTGCTAAAACAGATGGTAAACTTACTTCTGGCTGTCGCCGTGCTTCTTTGTGTGTGACCCCCTGGTTCATCTTGGTAACCAGAGTGAGCAGGAGGTGATGACCATGAATCTGTTCTACAGTAGGAGGGTCCAGGTCCTGATGAGGGACAGCATTTAGAACAGATGGAAAGGATTTCAGAGTGTTTGCGGCAATAACTCAGGAAATGATATCCGTGTAATGGGCTGTAGGTAGACCTTATAATAGATTAATGATAAAAAAAAAAGGAAATGACTCTTTCGCATTCAGCAGATGGATTTCAATTAAATTCTTTCCATCCATTAATTTTAGATTTATTCAAAATCTCCTCTGTATGGGAAATCTGACCCCTTTATGCTCATATTGAACATGTCAGGCACACCACCTTCACAAGAGTAGCAAAAATAAAGCAAGTAGATTCCAAATTCATTCTAACCTCTCTTCTAACCTGTTAACAGAAGTAAGCAGTCAACCAAATCCAGTAAGAAGTTTGGATTGGGTCTTGCGTCGTCCTACGTGGAACATTTGAACTGTCAGCCCTTACCTTTTTTAGACTCTTGGTTCTGTTCTATGGTTTCAAAGAGGAAAGTCTAAGCCAAAAGCACTGATAGCCAGTATTATATATATCATATTATATATATATAGTAATATCAATACACACCATATGACTGTGTAAACAAAGCTAGACAAATTTTGAGTGAGATGACTTTACTAAAAAGGAAATGTTTCAAATAGACAGACACATTTTTTAAAAAGCTGCTGTTATTATACACCTCACCATGTCCAGAACCTCCTGAAGAGAGCTGGAGAAGCTGCCAAAGGCCTCTTCTTCTAAAATATATAGAGATAACAGGATTTAGACAGATTGTCATGGCATTGTTGGCAACAAGATACAGATATCTCTGCTGCATATAGTGTTCATCATAAGAGTGCTCATGAATACTTATTTCTATATGGTTACTCATTTTTAACGTGGTTTTAAATTATTTATTGAATGTATTTTGGCACGCACTACTTGTAATAAATCATGCATTTCTGACGTTTCTCTTAGTTTCAGCTCAATAAAAAATTCAAATGTGATGTTATGTGTAGATGTTCGTCCATGGTTGGATTCTATACATATTAAGAACCAACAAAGACATGGTTTTGTTATGTAAAATTTTACAATTAACAAAAGGTTGGCTTTTTTTTTTTTTATATGACTATGCCTTTAGTTTATGAGAGCGGAAATTTACAGGGAGAAACTTTTAGGCTAGACCGCACCAGCCAATAGCTGGAAAATCATTTTTTTGTCAATCATTTTTAATAGAAGGGCTGCTGATGGGAAAGATGGTGGGGATACCTGTCAGAGGGGCCTGCTGGGAGACGCTGATAAGCAGCTCTCCCTCTGAGATGTGATTCAGTGCTGCTTCGGTCTCTGCTGTCACTGTGCTCCTGCTGGAGCTGGAGTCTTCTGTGGAGGAGGAAGATGGTTCGAGGGAGCCTTCAGCCGGAGCGGGGGAGAGAGGAGGGGGGGGAGACGGGGGGTGAACAGGGGAGCTGGGATGAGGCTCCTCCTCTTCTATGGACATCACCCTGCCAGAGGAGAAACGGTTTGCGTTTTATGATCTACAGTATGATGTCTAATACACTCAGCCAAGATCTGTGTGCATGTGTGTGCATACAGCTGTGTTTGTTGTGTTTCCACATGATCCTCTGGTTTCTCTTCATCCACTGTGCGCTTAGAGTCTCCCCAGATGGGTAGAGGTGAGGAGTGACTAACGAGAGAAGCGTTTCTTTCAGCAAAATGGGGCTCTGGGGTGGTGGCGGGTGTGGTGACAGGCTCTGAGGTCACAGATGCAACAAACCAGACAGAAATCAGATTACAATGGGAGCAAAAATCTTCCTGAGATCGAATCTACAGTCCGCTGCGTCTGACCTGGTGCTGTGGTCAGCTCCGGTGGCTCCATGTTGAGCGGGCTGGACGGTTTTGACGGGGTGGGAGTGGTCACTGGTGGGGTTTCGGTGCTGAGTCGGACCTCACTAGGCAGAGGGGTTGGCACTGGTGTAGGGACCAGTGGGACCTGCTCTTCCTGGAGAAGAATTATGTTTTTTAACAAATGGGTGGACCAAAAACTGGGACACTTTAAAGAATTTTTGTGTTTTCTTGTACCTCCTCATAAGCTGTTGGTTCTGGTTCTGGTTGCTCTAATCCCGGGTCTTCTCTTCCATCCAGGGCATCTTTCTGACCCAACACCTGGGCCACTGTCTCACTGAGAACCTCCTTAACCAGTTGCCTCATTAGCTCAGAGTCCACGGTGGTTTCTACAAGCGGCTCCAGAGATCCACCTGCTGCGGCTTCCACTGCAGACACACACAACAGCCTATTTTAGCATAAAACTCAAGGAACAGGATTTTATTTGTTTAGTTAGAAAGGTTCCTTAGTAAATTAAGTATTTAACAATCAGTCACGTAAAGAGATAATCATATTCTTTATAATTTAAGAAAAGTAGCCTGAGTGCTCCATCTATCATATCATTCAGCCCAATACACTCTGGACTTTCCTTTATGAATAATAGAACATTATTTTACATAGCTTTATAGTGAAATATTATTATTACCATCTGCCAGTACTGTGATTTATGAGATTAAATATGAGGACAGGAGGACGAATGTGAGTTTTTTTTAGGACAGTTTGTTAGACTTTGTTCCCTTTACTTTTTTTAAAGAATATCTAACTTTGATTAAATCATAACAGTGGACTAAAGTGCTTTTAGTCCATACGTATAAAGAATCTCTCTTTTCAGCTTTAGAATTTACTGACATCAAGGAAAAGCATATTTGACCCTACCAAGCCCCAACCCAAAGAAGTATTAAAAACAAACATTAATGGTAAATGACAGAGGTCAGCTTCTCCTACCAATATCAGAGACTGTGTTCCGCTCCTCAAGCTCTGAGTGGCTAGTTTGGTCATTCTGGTTCATTGTGGGGTCAGAGACAGGTGGTTGATAGATGTCCGCAATCATCCTCGATAAAAGGTGCTGACTCAGCCTAACAAAAACATGAGGAACAAAGCAAAATCACATTGAGCTGTCAGGATCAACAGGACCCACGTCTGTCCAGTTTAGACTGGTTTTCTCACCATTCCACCATCCTGTTCTCCAAGACGTTCTGCTGCTGGCTGATGCCCTGGGCAGCAGTCTCGTTATGGGTAGGGTGGGACGAGAGGGCCACAGGTGGGAAGGCTGGACCATGGTACGCAGCTGGAGTGGGAGATGGATCTCCATCTAACACAATGACTCCATCCCCCATCTCATTCTCCTCCTCCTAAGGAAAATCAGGTGTTAGGGGAAATCAATATATGTATAATCACTTTCTTAATTTCCACAAGTGAATATTTTAAAGGTTCTTTTTCTTTCTCATGGGACTCATTCCTCCTTCTAAGCCTCAGAGAGGGTCTCCTTATACTTTATCTCTTATCGTTTTGTCTGGAGGATTGTTTAATACAGGTGCTGAATGAAGGACAGACTTTACATCTTATTTTCAGACTCAGAGGGGTATAAAATGCACCATGATTCGTTTTACGTTGGGGCAGTCATATGAACCACTTGTATGATCGTGCTGGCTGCTCTCACTTCATGAAGTTTTCCCTTCCCTTTTTCCCTTTTAATAAATTTTTATTACTTACTTCCTCAGATGGACTCAGACTGTTGCTTTAAAATAACATTTCCACAACACAGGTGATAGATGTTAAGTATTTGTTACAGAATTTTTTAAAAGATCTTTTTTGCCAGATTATCCCAAATGATGCCAGCGTCACATTCCCGATTCATGCTCTGCTTGAGTTCAAAGTCTACCTTCTGGGTGGAACCAGCGTTTTAATTTCAATTCTCAAAACGTTCCGTGTATCTTCCAAAAACTAATACAACTGGTAGGATTTCCAATGAACACTTGATTGGAATTTTTCATAACTGATTTTCCTAACATTTAAATACAGGCAGACAGAGCAGACAGACAGACAACAAGCAATCTGATGTATGGACAGGTATGTCCAGAAGAACAGACGCTAGGGGGCGCTAGGGCCTGCAATAATAATGGAATTTCTATTTATTTAATGTATACTTCATTAATGCTGGCCTCCAGTGTAAGACCTTGCATTTCTTCTGCAGGTGATGACACCTTCTTCCCTTTGATTTTTGTTCTGTTTATGCTCAGCAGGAGGCGCTGCAGACTCAGTCAGAACACAGACAGAACAGGTAATTTACCAGGTTGATGTCAGCAACGTGCAGAGTGTCATTTCCAGGAAAAATGTCCCCTTCCTCATCCTCCTCATTTTCCTCGTTTTCCTCATTTTCCTCACTGGCTCTCTCCAAAATGAGCACTCCGTGTGATGGAGCAGACGGAGCTTTGTCCGCATCCAGCCGCTTCTGCGGACAGAAAAATATCCAATCAGAGCCGGCTCGACTATAATTCAGGCTGTATGGCTTTAGGGCTTTCAGTGGAGCCGTACAGCCGTAGTGGAGCTGTAAACTCCGTGGGTGTGCAGAGGTGAGGAATGAGACAGCTCACTTGTGGTTCAGCTGTTCTGTTATCTGTGGTAACCTCTATGTTTTGGGGGCGAGCTGGCGGTACTAATGTCACTTCCTGAGTACGCTCACGTTTGGAGGAATCCATCCTAGGACGACCTGCAGAAGAAGACAAACTGCAATCAATATTTATTTAGAGCTTGTTAAACCAGCTTTTTAATTCTGTCTCTTCTGTTCTTATTTTCATTTACAACCTATTCATTCAATGTTATCATTATTGCTATTTTCCATTTGAAATATTACATTCTATCGTATAAGCCTCAAATAAAATGGATTTATTCTTTTGTGTATTATGTCTGAGATGATTGAAGGCTAGCACAAAGTTTTTTTGTACATTTCTTTTTACAGTCAGAGAAAGACTGTAAAAAGAAGTTTATTGAATGTGAACAAAATATATAGTATCACATCTTAACATTTTAAAGTCAGTAGTTTATGTATTAAAAAAGGCATGTGTGTATGCATCTATGTAGTTGCAGAAATATGGATACTGAAAAAATTTAAATGGAAATATAAATGGAAACCATGCCTGCATAGTTTGATGACAATGTTGTTTCTTAAAAAAGAAAATAAGCCTTAGAAAAGAGTTATTGCTCCATGTGAGTGATACAAATAATCATAATCTAGTGCTCATGTGTCATATTGGAGTAATTCTTTGGCAAGTGTTCACTCTCTGGATACTGTTGACTATTATTATTCCATCTAAAATAATAACATTCCTCCTAAAACTACCTGACGAGTGTATGTGCCAGCTCAGATAAATCTGATCATTTATTGGGCATAAAAGACATTCAGGGTGTATCAGAGACTGACTTATAAGCCTTGCAGGTTTCTGCGGACCTTAGATTCTACCTGGGTTTCAGTCCTATTAGGCCAGGTTCAAGCTGTACTAGTGTCAGCACAGTTGGGGTTTTTCTGTGGGGAACCGATGCTCCAGGAACCGACAGGGAACGGATGCTGAAGTTATCAAATCTAACAAGTACCTGTACACCTTTTCCAATATTACAGAGGCATCAGCAGTTTCTGTTTGCAGTCTGCTGGGGCAGCAGGATTTCAGCTGCAGATAGGACCAACTCAGACAAAGTTACCAAGGCAGCTAGCTGTGTCCTGGGAGATCGACCTCGACATAGTAAATCTCTTTAAGGCATGAAGTTCAGGAATGACTGACAATTTTGCACATATTCTAAACCAAAATCTGATCTGGATTTATACCACTTATGTATGAGTTTTGCACGGAGTGTTCAATCGTTTACTGACCCAGTGGGATTGCTATGGCAACAGGGGAGCTGTCTGTGAGGGTGGTGGTGAGGTGAACAGGGTCGAGAGAGGCTCGTTGAGGGGTGGAGAACTCGTGGTGTTGCTCGGCTTGTCCAAGTGAAGGGAGCGGACTGGTCTGAGTCTTACAGGACCTCAACCTCACTCCTGCAGGGAAACAGGGGCAGACAGACGGAAAGGCCGGTCAAGCGCCACATCCTCCATCGCTGCACGTTTGCAGACTGTTCAGTTTGACCTGCCGTTTCCCGACCTCTGATGCTCTCCACCAGGCGGGGGCGGGGCTTCCTGCTGGGCGGCGACGCCGGGGAGCTGAAGTGCAGGTACGGGTTCTTCTTCAGGGTCCGTCTCTGACCTTCATATGGGACTTTCCCATACGTGCGACTGAGGTCTGCGTCCACCTGCTGGGTGTCCGTCTTCTTACCGGTGACTCTATCAGGCTTTGTTTCCTGCAGCTAAATACAGCAACATATACAGTAGAGTACACCACCTGTATGCTTCTGATCAGTCAAATCCACCAGTGTGAGGAAAATCCAGTGTGACCGTTCTGTGTCCGGCTCTGCTGCCTCTTCCCATCACCGGCTTGGTTCCTGTTGCTCTGAGCATGCCCGCTGGCTTCCCTCTCCCTGCAGCTGCCTGCTGTGATGTCCCAGTATCTGCAGGTCTGGATTGGTCGGCAGCTACCGAGGATTTCCCAGGGTGAGGAGCCTTAGAAGAGAAGAAAAATCAGGGTAGCTGTGATAGTTCCGGGGAAAACACAGGTGTGTTGTCCGTGAGAACATCACAACTCATTTGTTTGTGTTACTGAACCAAACGTGTAAAAAAAAGGCACTCACCTGTAAGTCATTCGAGAAAGTGTTGATCCAGGTGTCCACTGTCTTTTTAATTTGAACTTCCTCAGTCCAGTCTCTGCAGGGGCAAAAACACATCATTAAGTTTTCCTCTGCCCCTCCGGCAGAAAGGCAGGAAATTTAGGAGAAAGTTTACTTCCACTGTCATTTCTGAGGAGGCTGAAGTAGCAGTGGTGAGATGAAAGTCATGCAAAAACCTTTTAGATCGACAGGAAAAGAGAGGCATTGGGTCTCTGAATTGCTATATCTTACAAACAAATCAATGTTTGGTGTAATCGGCACTCTGACAGCAGCTGCTGTTCAACACAGCAAACACACTGAGGCTGATCTACCTTTAAGATAAGGCTTTCACTTTTCTTTTGGATAAACCTTATAGTTAGGGATGGTTCAGTGTCCCATAGTTTACTGCTATAAGCTGACATTATTGTTGTCATTAACTTGTGTTTCTCTTTGTTAGCAGGTATCCCTGGTCTGGTGTCATGGTGTTGGAAGGCCCATCTTTCCTGTCTTATCAACCCCCAGCCGCTCCAGAAAGATGGCCACCCTCCTTGTTCCGATGAGGTTTGTTCCTAATTCTAGGTGTCAAGGAGGTTTCCTACTAGATCTTTTGGAAGTCCCTTCCTGATTCTAGTTCTGATGGGGGATCCCTGCTGGTTCTGCTTGTGATGGAGGTTCTTTTTCTAACTTCGTTCGGTGTTTCACTATGGGAATCGCCTCAGCGTGACCCAACTACGGAAGC